GAGTAAGGCCACGTGTAAACGTTGTAGTTGAGAAAAGTTCTAAACTAGGCATGTGAAACAGGGTACCATTTGTCACCAGAAGGTATATGAAGGGGGTACCTGGCTTTTCTGTTAAAATGTTATATATACAGGTACGGGGTTAGACCTCGGGGCAGAACCTCCCCGTATAAAACGTTGTTGAGTAGCCCCTTGGGTTCATAGCTACTTACCAGCTATACCACTTGCTGCAAATATACCCACGTACATTGGTGAAACCTTTGCTTTGACATTTTCATCCAAATAAGGAATTCCTAGCGCATACATTGGAGTACAGCCGCAGCCCATTACGACCATTCCCAGAATGAATAGCGCGTAGTAAAGGCCGTTGCCGCCGGCTTCTTTCGCGCAGTCGTCGTTTTCGCCATAATAATTTCCATCTCCTGCGCAAACTTTGGATGCTTTACTTGCAGCTTTCATAGTGCCATTGAGGCCCAAATTAGCATCTAAAAAGGACAAAGAGATAAACAGACCAAACATTAATTACGGACACTTTGATCTAGAACTGAAGATAAAGGGGATTGTCCTCTCTGACCTGTGCCTATTTCTTAAGTATAATATAGCAGAAAGTCCATCTAGCCAAAAACTGTTGAGTGGAGCCGGATCTCACAGTTGTAGTTCCTGAAGAAGGTTTCTCTTTCAAACCGAAATACCAGGCAAATTTGTTCTGAAATACATTTTTTGCTTTATTCATTTGTTTACTTGTTCATCGCCTTGCCGTCTGGATCACTTTGCCGTTTTATATTTTATATACTAATTTCTTAAGGTTCGCCGTATTCCGATAATTGTTTTAAAAGTTAAGATATCGTTTCTTCTCGAGTGACCATAAAGCCGTATCCTAACGATGTAAAACGCGGGGTTCACCCTTAACCTATTCCAATTTCGTTAACTTAGAGTTTTCGATCTTGAAGTTTTCAACACTATTAAACCTTGAATGTTCGGGGGCTTATTTGAGGATGTCAGTGAAGCGGGAGTTTAGCATCTGTTGATTTCTGCCACTATTCAAGTGAATCTCAAGTCAAGACAGTTTTTTTTTTCAATAAGTGTACATTCAGGACACCTTTCTCTTTGTGGTTCCTTTGAATTTCTTGTTTTTGACTTCATTTTTTGACTGGGTTAAATAAGACAAAAAGTGGTCAGGCCGGCACGGTAAACTGAAATTCATCGGGTTTAATTTTCAGATTCAATTTATTATTAGCGCTTTTCAATATTCCCACCAGAATTATCATTTCGATTTAACGTTCATACGATTCATATGCACCTACCTGCTTCGTATGGAGGTGAGATAAAATGGGGAAGCGCAAATACAAAAAAGCCAACACCCATAATGAACAATCCCCAGGCACAAAACACGGGTTTCTTTCTTGAGCCACCGAGGTAGCTAATCAGTGGTGTTACCACCAGAGCTGCGACGTCGTAGCTGCTTGCCAACATTCCTGACATGTAACTGAAACCACATACAGTCAACTTTATCTTAACGGACACATCTATAAGTAGGAAGCCTATAGTTGCTCTATGTATCCGCATACACTTTCCTTGACTCCCCACCCTTAAACTTTAAAGTGCGAAAACACGGGACAAAAAAGTTTACAAGAAGTTCATAGTCGCTTTCTGACGGACACTCTAGGCCGCTCCCAACTGAGAAAGTTGACCGCTAAACAACTTGTCAGTTTTATGTGATGTTTTTTTTTTGGTAAAGTTTTTCCAAACAGGTTTTAGCTCGTGCAATGGTGTAGCTCCCACGGCCAACCTCGTCCCCAGGGCGCTTCCCTGGAAAAGAGGTGGAGGTGGGGTGCCCCGGGGACGAGGTTGTCTCACGGCCAATAAAACGATAAGGGTTTTACGGCATGTAACTAAAAAGGAAACAACGATAAAATCAAACTGTTCAAAACTCAAGTGGAAGCACGAGCTTAGAAGTGTCATTTTCCCCCACCAAAAAGTTACACAGGCTACTACAAAAGATCCCCAGAACGCAAGCACCACAACGATCGTAGCCTGTGAACAGGCTCTCTGTTTGGGGAAAAAATAGCTAGGAAAGAGAAATTCCCCGCTCGACCCCGCTCGACCAATGGCCTGTTCACAGGCTACAACGATCGCTAAATTCCCTGCAGAGTACGATATCGTCGCATATACGTGGACGAGTATGCTCATCACATAACTGAGTGAACAGAAGAGGAAAAAAATAAATCTACATCTTTATGGTCTTCAAATGCCCCTCCCTCCCCGAAAAAAAAGGCACCTGCCCACCCAGCCCCCAAAAATAACGGCTGCCGGCTACTACGCGTGAGTGAGCCTTCATTGAAAAGCTAAAGAATGTAGCAGCCCAATACTTGTTTGACCCTTTCTCGATTGAATTTTAATTCCATGCTTGATCCTTGTAGACTACAGAAATCTTGTAGCTCTGATCGCTCTGATGAGATATGAAGAATGGCTTTGCATTCTGTGCGTTCACTTTGGAACTAAGCGTTTTTTTTATGGTCTTTAATACTTTCCGATCCAAAGATAAATGGTAAAACTTGATACTTTATTTACTAACCTTGTAAACCCAAAGCGCTTCTCTATCGTGCTGATAGAACCAGGAAATATTCCATTTACTACGATGCTCTGAGTAAAGAAATACTGCGATAAGAAGAAGAGAAACCACTTAGGCGTGTTAAGGAACTGCAGCCAACGAGGACGAATTTGAAGCCATCCATAGGATAGACGTTTTTCTTCGTTCTCGTCATCCATGTTTGGGGAAGTGGACCGGTATAACAACACAACAATGCCGCAAAGATTGTAGTCTGAAACCCTGTTTCCAATTAATTGCCAGTTAGATGAGTGCGCTGGCTTTAAGACTGAAGATGATCATAACACGACTTGTAGGATCCCGAAGAGTTTCATTTCGCAACTCCAGTTCTGTGCAGTGCGGGCGGCGGCTTTTGTATTAGTTTATGTAACCACGGCGATCAACTAGGATGAATAGAGGATATTTGATATTTTTAATCTATAACAGGTTAATTGGAAAATTTTCACAAGCAAACATTTTTTATATGGGGCTCCTGCTGCAAACAGTTTTTTTTGGGTCTTCGTCTTCCTGCGATTTTACTTTCATACAATTTATTTCAGTGTTTACAGCCTCTGCAAACAATTTAATTCAAAATTTTCCAACCCGGACCCCCGTCAAAAAGAGAATGGTCCGTCCTTCAGATTTGCTCGACTTGCTGTTTGACATGCTTCGTCGTGACACAAAGCACATAGCTGATCTAAAGTGACGCACCTTATATCTAATTTCCATATTAAAAACGCAACGATCCATAAAGAAAACAACAAGATCAACTAGAAACAAGGACATAGACCGAAGATGACTGCTGCGAGAAAGCCAACCCGATCTCTTGAAACGATTGAAGCCATCCATAGGATAGACGTTTTTCTTCGTTCTCGTCATCCATGTTTGGGGAAGTGGACCGGTATAACAACACAACAATGCCGCAAAGATTGTAGTCTGAAACTCTGTTTCCAATTAATTGACAGTTAGATGAGTGCGCTGGCTTTAAGACTGAAGATGATCATAACACGACTTGTAGGATCCCAAAGAGTTTGATTTCGCAACTCCAGTTCTTTGCAGTGCGGCCGGCGGCTTTTGTATTAGTTTATATAACCACGGCGATCAACTAGCTGAACTAGGATGAATAGAGGATATTTGATATTTTTAATCTATAACAGGTTATTAATTGGAAAATTTTCACATGCAAACATTTTTTATATGGGGCTCCTGCTGCAAACAGTTTTTTTTGGGTCTTCGTCTTCCTGCGATTTTACTTGCATACAATTTATTTCAGTGTTTACAGCCTCTGCAAACAATTTAATTCAAAATTTCCAACCCGGACCCCCGTCAAAAAGAGAATGGTCCGTCCTTCAGATTCGCTCGACTTGCTGTTACGTTTGACATACTTCGTCGTGACACAAAGCACATAGCTGATCTAAAGTGACGCACCTTATATCTAATTTCCATGTTAAAAACGCAACGATCCATAAAGAAAACAACAAGATCAACTAGAAACAAGGACATAGACCGAAGATGACTGCTGCGAGAAAGCCAACCCGATCTCTTGAAACGATTTGTATGAATTTAATTCACCTTATCCGATTTTCTCCCAGTCTATCCAAGTACATTGGTGTCGTTTTCAACTGCCGGATTAAGACGGGTTAATTCTATGACCTTGTCAAGGTTAAGATTACCTGAATTTATCGATCAAATCCAGTTATATTTTCGGAAATAAACCCGGACTAACGACAAATTTGAAGAAAAAAAAGACCCTAAAAAGCATCAACATTTAATTTGAGTGTAAAATGCCCTATATTAGTACATTTACGTCATATCACAAATTTCAGCTCGGTAGGGTGAGGAGGATATTTCGCTCTAAAAGCAGCATATTTTAATTCAGGGTTGAGTGGTGAGTGACACTGTGAAAATGTAAATATTGGTTAAGTTTTATACGGGTATTCCACTTAAGTTACCACAAACAAATAATCTACATGAAGACTTATTTTGGTTAAAAGGCAACAGGTTGGCTACTTACACGGGTCTAGAAGTCCAACACCGGGTCTGCCGAGAAACAGCGCCAGTTAGTGCTCAGAGGGGGACTAGAATCGGGATCGCCTGATTGTGAGTACAGCGAAGAATATGCTAAGTTAATTCAATTGCACCGATGGCTTTAAAGATTTCGAGGCATAGTTTCGCGGTGTCATTCGCCGATTCATGTTCGTAGAGTTCGGGGAATCCAACAAGTTTTATATTATATTGGTAGCTGTAATTTTCCATGCTTTCTATTGCTTCACTAATGTTTTTCACTTTTTCATTAACAGCTTCAATCTTCTTACCGAGTCGCTCTAGTTCGGCCATTGCATTTGTTTTGAACAAAATCAATTCATCGTGCTTATCGCTAAGGAAGTTCAAGCTCTTCTCGCCTTCACGACTCGGAGTAGCGTTCGCGTTAGTTGGTGGTTCACCCGCTAATTGTATGGAACTCTGCTGAAGCAAAAGTTTCATTTGCCCAACCTCTTTGGATAAAACTTGTATTCGTTCTTTCAACCTTAGATTTTCTTGTCTAAGCCTCTTGACTTCACCCATAACATCGATTTTACAGAACCTACTTCATGCCGCCATCCGCCATGCGGAGGTTAGGCCTTACACTCCATTTCCAAGAAACNCAAAAGTTTCATTTGCCCAACCTCTTTGGATAAAACTTGTATTCGTTCTTTCAACCTTAGATTTTCTTGTCTAAGCCTCTTGACTTCACCCATAACATCGATTTTACAGAACCTACTTCATGCCGCCATCCACCATGCGGAGGTTAGGCCTTACACTCCATTTCCAAGAAACCTTAGCATTGTAACCCGACTTAACCCTTTTGAAAAGCTCTTCTCTTTTGGATCTGAAATGAAATGCACTGAAGTTCAAAACTAACCTTTTATATTAGGTTCTTATTTCTGTTATCCCACTGTTGCTGTCATCAGTCGCTTTTGAATAATTTGTCATGGGCAAAGAGGAAGTTTGAATAGCAAGCATCGGCATCAAATAGGTGCCACATAAACTTGTCGAAAACTTTGTAAACGCCTAGATATGATACATGTATTTGACACTTTCATTAGCTTTTTCTCGCTAAAAATTTTTAACATTTATCAAATATATCGGATTAGGCCAGAAAACCAGAAGCAAGCACACAGTGCAATTATATAAAGTACTGAAGAAAAATCATTTTAAAACTGCAGTGCTGAGGGGGATTAAAAATTCAGTGCACCTTGGCTGTATAAGTGTTACTTTACTTTACCGTATTCAGTTTTAACATACAAAGGAAGAATAACCAAAAGTCAGCAATGAAATTAATTTGTTTTTCTTGTTGTAGGATATGAACATCCCATCGAAACCAGAGGACAAAAGATCTTGGTACGGTTTCCATAATGCACGTCCAAAGTGGCTGCAGTTCCTCAACACCCCAAAATGGTTTCTGTTTTTTCTGACTCAGTCTTATTTCACACAAAGTTGTGTGATTACTGGCCTGTATCCTGGAATTGCAAGCACTATAGAGAAACGCTTTGCATTTTCGAGGTAAGATTTGCCAAATTTTGTGAACAGGAGAGCGAATAGCTAAGACCGGCCTAATAGGCCTTAATCACGATACCCTCCATCTTTGCACGCGCTTTTGGATTGATGAGATGAAAGCAATAGGGAGGTTAAGCACAGACGTTTGTGAGCGACGCATGTTAACCGGAAGTGGACTTTTTCATTCTCAGGCAATGATCTTGCCTGTGTTTTCGGGCAAATCGTCTCTGTAAGAGTAAAGAAAAGACAGCTGAAAAGAATCTGTTTCGAATTTTTTCCTCGCCCTCTTCTTTTTCCATTTGCCTTTCTTTTTATAGGCACTTTTCTTGCCCACTTTGTCGTCTTTTTTTCGCATGAAATTCAGCAAAGGAAGAAATTTAATCTGTAAAGAGTAGTAGCTAAATAGCAAATTGGTAGTAGATTTTTTTCCCCAAATGTTGCTTGTTTTTTTGTCTGTAACTGTCAGGATTGGTAAAAATTTACTAAATAAGGTACCAGTGGAAAGCTCTATCCTCGCTGATTTTGCTAATTACCATCTTAAAAGCTTTAATGGAAAATTTAATGGGTCCAGGAAGAATAATATACATGGGTCCATATGGACCCGAAACGGCGAAAGCGGACGACAAGTAAGCTCCTTAATGTCACGTGGTATCTCAGAGGGCAAGTAGACAGCAAAATTCGTTAAAACGTTTTTCAAAATTATTTAACTCTGAGCCAGTTTACCATATTTTGTCCTTTGCCATTTTCAGTATAATTTACTAATGTCCTTTTAAACATTTTGAAGAACTGGATATGCATTTGAGCTCAACAGAATTGAAACGCGATCAAAATTAATCTATGCCTTCAAAAGCACTTTAATTACCACCGATGTATAGTGGTCGCAGATACTGTGAAAAGTTACTGAAGTTTGCGACAAACACGCCCAAAACAAACAATGACCTAAATCCAGCTGATACCACCCTACCACCCCCTCTTTTATGCGACCACCTTCATTTCGTCGACCCAGTCATTTTCCACCTGAAAACCTTGATAGTACCACTCCCTTAGGTAATCGCAAAAACTAAGCTCGCTGATTTGGTGATTTTGAGCCCAGTTTTTATTGACATGGTATTTGCTCATTGCGTCCTTGTTCCCTTCTATGCTGATTGGAGAAAAAAAATTAATTTGAGTATGTCAATGCATTTAGCTTTGATAATTACTAATTGGAAAAGGTATTTTTACGTCTCCAGCTGGAGACGGGACCGTGATTTTACGTGGTCATCCGAGCCACGCGAAAGTCTAGCCGCTTGCAGTGTAAGGGGAGTACTTTCATTTCTCAGTTATTTTAATACTCTGAGTATTGGTCTGGCCCGAGTAGCCGAACCCACGACCTCTCGCACTGCAGTCATGCGCTCTAAACCGACAAAGCTAATCCTGCCGCGGTTAATCTGTTTAAATTTAATCTTCGTTTCTAAATGAACAGCTTCAAGATAGGAATGATCCTGAGCAGTTATGAAATAGCCACGGTGATTGTTACTCCGTTCATCAGTTTCTTTGGAGGCTCGCGTAAGAAACCAGTATTTTGTGGTATTGGTTTGTTCATTATGGGCGTGGGATTCTTCATCTTCACTGTTCCTCATTTCATCTCGTCACCATACCAACCTGGTAAGTAGTGCACAGACTACTAGAAAACTAGTCGATTTGCAGACGCTTTATTTCTAAAGATTGATTTGCATAGGGACTTGCTGTTTTTTGTATCGTTGTTCCAAAAAGCTGGAATAAACATTCGTGCGTATTTTTTTTTTGGCAGGAACACACAACCCAGCGATCCTTTAGCTGAATAAATTCGAACCTCTATTTGTGACCACCTCTCTGTCGTAATAGACCATCTCCCATAAGCGACCACCTATCCAAAACACCAACATTTTCACAGTCAAAGCATATAGTTGGAGCTCCTCGTAAAGGACCACCTCATGTAAGCGATCTCGACCACAGTTTTCGGAGCAGACGGTTTAATAATTTTCCATTGTTTTTTAACCTCCTGTTAGCGACCACTTGACGCATGGCTTCATCTCTATGCTCGCTGTATGTACTAAACTACTTGGAGTATACGAAAAAATTTTAGTGAACGAAAGGAACTACACGTATCGTAACTTAGAAAGTAGATGTGCAGGACCTCTTCTCCGAAGAAACCACTGTGGTTCGATTCTCGTACAAACACCTTCCTTAACAGACCAGTAAGTATTTGCATTTTGGGTGGTCGATTACGACTGTAATAACAATGTACGTTTCCATTTCTTTGTTTCATTTCCAGCCAGCAATGAAACAATCCATGGGCAAGTCTTCTGTGGAGATAATGTTACTACTTCTGACAAAAAAGCACACTGTGGAGAAAGCAGACGAGAAGGAAACAGTCTATATTACGCATTGTTTATTTTGGGTATGGTTATAGGTGGAATTGGTAACTCTCCATTATACGTGCTAGGGGTGCCTTATCTGGATCAGAACGTCAAATCTAAGTTCTCACCTATGTACATGGGGATTTTGGTTGGTTTTGGCGGAATATTAGGTAAGGCAAACCAAGACAATTTTTTTATTTTCTTTGCAATGGAAACAAGTTCTTAATTCCTTGGTAGGAAATAATCGTTTTTGACTCCACGAATGCTTCAGAAATATCGATTCAGCTTCGGTAGTTCTAATTATTAAGCAAGAGGCCATTACGTCACTGCATATAACACCCTGAGGAAAATGTTGTTTTGCTGTAGACAATGCTCTCCTCATGCGCAGTTTGGCTCCCGTATTCTGGGGACATTGACAGTTCCGAACTTCCCAAATAAATTACAAAACAAAACAAGCATACCAATTGAATAATGAAACAAACATTGTACTTGTTTCTTAAAATATCGTGATTTGTCAGATCAACTATTTCCGCCTGCCCTCGTCATTGAAATGCTCGTCACTGACAAGTCTGGGGGCGATTAAACGTCATTCAATTGGCCATGTTCTAAATGGCGAGGGTAATGGTACGATCGTTTGAAGGGACAACAAAACCACAGCGAATAGCAGCAAGCTACCTTTTAAAGAAGCTCTTACGGTTATTATAACTGAGAAAAGGCATATAGACTGTACCTGGTAATTTAGGGTCTTTAGGAATTCTGTAACAGTGAAGATTAATTACATTTCTGAAACTATTATAGCTTGGAACACAGCAGTTACAGTGCACCATGTTTTTTGAGCCTCATGCTGTCCCTCCAAACGACCTCAAGAAGCTTTGTGATCGCATATCGTACCTAGTTTTTTACTCGTTGAGACCACGGTGCATTACAGTTCACGTACTGTTTAAAAAACGAGCAGGAGTATATTATCAGGTTTAAAAACTCGAGGCGAAACCGAGAGTTTTTAAACTTGATAATACACGACCGCAAATTTTTTGAACGGCTTCAAAATCTCTGATATAAATCAACTCATTCTTCCACCAATATTATATTTGGGGTTATTTTGGTGTAAAAAATTAGACAAAAAGTTTAGCCGTGTCTTTTTTCATATATAAAGGCAGTCACTAAACATTAATTTCTCTTGCTTTTTTTTTCTTTTTGAATTAGTAATGAGTTTTTGAATGGTCATTTATTTCAGGGGCCGTCGTGGGTTTTGCGCTCAGTTCTATTTTCCTTTCACTGTTTGTGGAAACTAGCGTCCAGACCTCCCTCACTCCACAAGATACAAGCTGGGTTGGTAATTGGTGGCTAGGATTTACCATATTTGGAGGATTTGCCGTGTTCTGGAGTCTATGGCTATTCGGTTTCCCTAGAAAGCTTCCCGTGACTCAAGCTCGAAGGGAGTCAACTCCTCTAATAGACGCCGATGTAGGTTAATATACGACGTATTACCATTAATACACACACCTAAGGAGCTTAAGCAAAGGGTTTTTGAGCGACGCACGTCAACCGGGATCGAGGCATGTTCCCTTTTTAAAATATGCCTTGATGTTACCAGATTTGTATTACCAAGTTTCTTATAGAGACGATTTGCTCGAAATTTTGGGCAAAACCACTGCCAAAGAAACGTCCACTTCTGGTCGAGGGGCGTCGCTCAAAAACGTCTTTGCTTAAGCTCTCTTCTGTTTTCTCAGTTGTACTTAGATCTAGGTACGAACCTCATCTGTTACTCAAAAAGTGTGGCATTTCTCAGTTTACACGGTTAGCTAGAGTTGGTCACCGCGCCTTTTTTAACTGCGGTACCAAAACTGTGAAACAATTTGTAAGTTAGTATTCATAACGAGAAAAATTTTAATAGTTTTAAAACTTTGCTTAATAGGCATCTTTTAAAATTTGTTTTTATGAGTTTTTAATCATGTAGTTTTAGCTTTTGATAGGTTTTTGTATTGATATGTGATGCGCATTTGATCATATACATGTGTTGATTTGCGTAATATCAGTACTTAATCGATATCATCACTGATTGTTATCAGCTGTTCGTTCGTTCTGATGAAGGGTTGGTTCTCTTCATTTGGACCACTATGTAACGTTTTCACTCACGTGGCCAGGAACTATGCAAATTTATTGGAACAAAAGAAAGCGTTTACGTAAAAAAATAGTTCACCTCCCACAGGATTGGTTTGCGACACCAACATGTCCACCGTTTCATTGTTTTCAAACACCGATGTATGGCCGCCTCGGCTTCGTGAGAAAACGCTCTTTACATTATCAACTCAACTGATGAAACAATTTCAATGTCAATGACATGCCCTTGATCTTTTTTTTCAGCTTGTAACCACTGATGTTGCCGAATCGTACACTAGGCTCTCAGACTTTCCAAAAGCCACGAAACAGGTTTTTTGTCGCCTCCCGTTTGTCTTTATTACCATAGGTGGATGTACGGAAAGTTTAATCGCTACTTCCATTGGTGCGTTTGGCCCCCAAATACTCGAGTCACAATATTACGTACCTGCTGGCCGCGCTGCATTGTTGTTTGGCTTAGTGACCGTGTCTGTAGCCTTATTTGGCCATATGCTTGGTAAGTCGATCAGAGTGAATGGGACTTAAATATATTCTTGGTTTGCACCCACGTGACAAGGCGGCCATGTTGCATTTTAGGTCAGTACAATAGAAAAATTATTGAAAATTAGCGTTTAGTTCCCAGAGGAGAGAAAAGCTTTTGTTCTTGACCACCAACATGGCCGCCGTGACGTCACGTGGAAACCAGCAATTGTATTATATATTGTCCGCGACACAGTCCATTTTTTTCTTCAGCAATACAAAATCACAAACGAAAGTCATGTTGTTTGGAGAAATGTAAGCGAAGTAGCCATTATTTTGGCAATAAATTAAGACTGGCGACTTTCGTCTAGCCTGGGAGCGTAATGTAGAGAGAAGGGGCGGATCTGGCAACTATTCCTTTTCTTTTTTGTTGCTTCTCCCGTTCCCGTTTGCTTTCTCTTTCTCGCCTTTTGTTTTGCCATAGCCTCCACGACCGCAACAGAGCCTGCTCCAAGATCAAACGGCTTTTCCATTTCCTTTGTCGCTGGGTGATTTCAGTCATTTTCTTTAATTCAAGAAGCAGGGACAATTGACGCTTCGCCACAAAGGGGGAGTACATAAAGATACAAGACAAAGCGATAACACTCCCCTATCTCTACCCGCTTATACATGATTGCGTAAAGCTCACGCAAAAAAATCCCCTCATCCAAATTATAGTTTTCTTAAAGCCAGTGACAAACTCATGATTGAAAGTGAAGACTTCCATCTGAAATACGCATATTTATTGCTTTTTTAGGAGCTTACATCAACAAACGATTGAACTTAAGCCTGTCAGGTGCTGCCAAGATGTGTTTTATAGCTGCGTTTATAAGTCTTACGCTAACTAGTTTCCTGTACATCAAATGTGATGCGATAGACATCGCTGGAGTCAATAAACCTTACCCTAATAGGTGAGCAGACTGCCGCTGCTTATTCGAGAAATGGCTTCTGTAGATGGTTTTCCAGATGAATTTCTACAAAAAAAAAATCTGCTATTTTTCTTGGTTGCCATGTGATTGGCTTATTAAAACTTTGCCCCATTCCAGCCGTGACTTGGTCGCAAGCGTTTTCCCGCGCTCCGTACCGGTTTCTGATTTAGTTACCGCTGGCAAGACAAGGGTGCCTTAAGCTGGAAAAAGCAACTTCTATGTACTTGTGTAACCCCTGGGGGCTAAGTTTTATAAGGGGAGGTTCCGCCACAGGATCCAATCCCTTACCTTTTTATATACCATTTTTGACAGATAAGGGACTTCTCTCGTATACCTCTTATTGACCAAATGTTACCCCTGAGTACTTTGTTTAGAATACTGTGACCCTTTTAGCTGCTATAAATGCACTTTCTTTGAATATGAATAAATCACTAGATCTCGAAGTTTTCTTGACGTTTTCACTGCCACAAAATGCGTCTGTTAGCGCCTTTAGGTCCTTTTGCAGAAATGACAGATTTTCTTACCTTTTTATACACTTCGAATAGTGAAATTCCTAACCTTTCGAAAACCTGAAGCCTGAAAAAGGAACTTTACGGCTTTCGGACGGAGTCTAACCGTATAGGTCATCATAGGGAGTGCCTCCAGTGTTTTAAAGACCATTTTATTTTTAGGACGATTTATGAGCGAATTTAGAATGTCGTTATCATTCCCCAAACCAGTTGGGAAAACCTACTGGCCTGAAAATGGTATTTCTTGGCGTTTTAACGACGTTCAGTTTCGAATGCGCAAATAGACGGAGCGAAGCTTCCATTTGCCCGGGATAAAGTGCTCTAAAATATGTTCTAAAAATAAACGGGTCTGTGAAAACGCTGTATGGCCCTTGCCATATGGAAATTGCGCCATCCGGATTTATTATCGGCTTTTTAAAAGACTTCATCTGATTACTGAGCGTCATGTGACTGGCCAGAGTGATAACCTTGCTAAACTCATTTTGAGTTCGCTCTAAATAAGTTATTTGTTGAATGAGTTAAAAAAGGTTAAATGAATCAATAGAGATTTCCCTATTTTATTGTGTTGTTTAATGACAAATATGAACAGCTTTTTGTTTCTCACTGTTACAAAAAAACCTTTTTTTCATTTGGCGCAGTTCAGTAACATTTCAGAAGAACGCCATTTGTAACGAAACCTGTCATTGCAACGAAGGAAGATTTGAGCCTGTTTGCGGGGATTCGCTGACCTTCATCTCACCTTGCCATGCTGGCTGTCGTCAAAGCAACCTTTATAATGAGGTACGTAAAGCAATTGTAGGTGGGTGTCATGTGGCCGCTGCAGTTTGTCTTGACACGCAACGCTTATCTTTGAAGGCGAAAAGCGTTGCGTGATGAGACAAACAACGACTACGTGGGATACTATTCAAAGGGGTGATCTGCGGCTATTCTACCAATTTTCATTGGTCACTATATTTGCTCGCAGCGTTTATCACCAAAAGCTGCAAGCAAATATAAATCAAGTTGTTTTGTGAAGCCAAAGACAGCCATCGTAAACGGACCAAATTGCCCCGATTAAATAGTATTTCCTTTTTTTCTGTTTTCAGACTTCTTCCTCCTATACAAACTGCTCGTGCGTCAAATCCGAAAACGATCCAATCGGAAAAGTTGGGAAGGGTTTATGTGAAGCAAACTGTGAGATCCAGTTATCTCTGTTCCTTCTTGTGTTGTGTTCCATAACTTTTTTCACATTCATCAATGATGTCCCTGCTTTGATAGTAACACTAAGGTATGCTAAAATGAGAAAGAGCCGGTTGTGGTGGTGGTGCTTGTGTGATTGAGCAATAAAGACAAAGTAGTAAGACAAAACTGTTGCGTTGTAAGGAGGTCATACTTTTTAGGAAATAATGCTTTTCTTTAGCAACTTGTTTTTTTTCGCTATGACGAATTTACTTTTACTGTGTCCTGCTTACGCGTTATTACAGCGTAACTTTAATCATAGCCATTGCGCTGGAGAATATTCTTAGTACATGCAGTGTATCCAGTAGTTTTTATAAACTTGTGTAGCGTAATTCCATCCTTTCTTCCTTTCTTTCTTCATCCATCCATCCATCCATCCATCCATCCATCCATCCATCCATCCATCCATCCATCCATCCATCCATCCATCCATCCATCCATTCAGCCAGCCAGCCAGCCAGCCAGCCAGCCATCTGTCCATCCGTCCGTCTGTCCGTCTATCCATCCATCCATCCGTCCATCCGTCTATCCATCCATCCATCGGTCCGTCCGTCCGTCCGTCTGTCCGTCCGTCCGTCCATCCATCGGTCCGTCCGTCCATCCATCCATCCGTCCGTCTGTTTATCCGTCTATCCATCCATCCATCCGTCCGTCCGTCCGTCCGTCCTTCCGTCCATCCATCCATCTATCCATCTATTCATCCACCCGTTCGTTTGTTCATTCATTCATTCAATCAATTAGGAGTAACTAGTTCTTTTTCCCTTCCAGGAGCATTCCAGTTGGTCAACAGCCATTGGCCCTAGGTCTGCAATCTGATATAGTTAAGCTTGCTGGCACTGTTCCTGGTCCTATCATATTAGGAGCACTGATAGACAAAACCTGCATCTTTTGGGACAAAACGTATGTTCTTATATTAAAACTCCTGTCTTCCATATTTGCCGGTATGCCATTGACTTAAACGTTGTAAATATTATTCTGGCATCAGACTCATTGCCCTAGCTGTATAGTTTTAGTATATACCTCTCATCATCATCGTCTCATCACTAGCCTTCCCCGTGACCTTCGCTGGGTCTGTTAGTATACATATTTATCCATTGAGAAGGAAGAAGTACTGTGGACATTACATTATACTGTTTTTAATCTTAATTCGATCTTTTATTATTTAAGGTGCGGTGAAAATGGCTTTTGTCATGAGTACGACCACAGAGGACTGGCACTAGTGGTGTTGGCAGTTATTATGACATGCAAAGTTATCACTACTACGACTTTCTTTTTATCGTGGTTTTTTAGTCGCCGAGACGCTGAAAGCAGACATGATACAACAAACAATCAAGAAACTCATTTTTAGGAATATTTATAGAACTACCCTGGCCTCTTCAGTGTTAAAGTGACTTTATTTACGAACACTGCTTGTTAAGTTTCGAGAATTTTTAAAGATGCAGCACGTTTTATAAAAGTATTTAAAAGCTACAAAAAGTGAAGTAAAAGGAAGTTATTTTTTGCTCTCGCCTTCATATTTAAATGATGTCTGACTGATTAAAAGATATTTTTAAAAGATTTGGAAGACAGATTTAAGGAACACTGAACTCCGGATACTTGGAAACGTATTCTTTAAATCAGTAATTTACAACCATTCGTACTTTAAGCCCCCCGTTCAAACAGGGGCTTAACAGACGACGACGAATTTT